TGAGTTTCCACGGCCATTCCTGCCCAACTTCAAATACGTTGGAGGACTTCACTGCACCCCTGCCAAACCCTTACCCAAGGTGCATCTGTCTTTTTTCAACATTCTACCTCATTTGCTATTAATAAGAAAAAGGGAGATCTGAATTTCATAAAATACACCTACAGATCCATAAGGCGTTATCATTATTTCACTGCAGTGAGTTAGATGTTCAGTGACCGGTCTGAATGGATTCTGTTCAGTTAACTCAGTATTTCAGCATTTCTGAACCAATTTATTAAAACAACTGGCTTATATGAGTAAATTGTTCGGGAATCAAACTACATTGTTCGTGCTGTATGCTTTTGATTCAGTAAAAAGAATTGACTCAAGAATCATTTGTTCTTGAATTGGATTGTGCTGATCACTTTGTATATGGGAATCTCAGTAGAAATACATTGTTTTATTTATTTATATATATATTTAACTGTATCACATTCAAGACAGCAACCTCACATTCAGACCTCCTGTTAAATATAATTTCTTTTGGCATATCACTGAAGATTCAGCAGTGGGGGAGTGCCTTAGTACTTTTATCAACTGCTTTTAGTCATATTAGTAGCGCCGTTCACCTGAAAACTGCGGTGAATTGTACCTGTGGCGGCATATACAGTATTTTACATTTTGCAGAAATATATTATGTAGTCACTTTTCAGACCTTAAGTTCATGATGTCTTTTTTGTGTAGGACATGGAGGAGTTTGTACAGAGCTCAGGGGATGATGGGATTGTGGTCTTCAGTCTGGGGTCTATGATAGACAAAATGCCCAAAGAGACGAGCAATATGATCGCCTCCGCACTGGCACAGATTCCACAGAAGGTAACTGGCCATTGTTACAGTCTTTTCATCCATGACTTGCATAAGCACTGCTTCTTGATGTGATTGGAATGAGGGAAAGTAATTTAGCTTTGTCACAATTCAAATCTCAATGTAATTTCTTTGCTATTTTCTGCTGATCAGTTGAGAGTGTGGTTGTATAAATGTGTTGCAGGTTTTATGGCGATACGGTGGAGAGAAGCCAGATACTCTTGGTGCAAACACCAGAATCTATAAGTGGATCCCTCAGAATGATTTATTGGG